GTCCTGTTGTCCCCGTCCTCTTGTCCCTGTCCTCTTGTCCCCGTCCTCCTGTCCCTGTCCTCTTGTCCCCGTCCTCCTGTCCCTGTCCTCTTGTCTCTGTCCTCTTGTCCCTGTCCTCTTGTCCCCATCCTCTTGTCCCTGTCCTCTTGTCTCTGTCTTGTCCCCGTCCTCTTGTCTCTGTCCTCTTGTCCCTGTCCTCTTGTCTCTGTCTTGTCCCCGTCCTCTTGTCTCTGTCCTCTTGTCTCTGTCCTCTTGTCCCTGTCCTCTTGTCCCTGTCCTCTTGTCCCCGTCCTCTTGTCTCTGTCTTCTTGTCTCTGTCTTGTCCCCATCCTCTTGTCTCTGTCCTCTTGTCTCTGTCTTGTCCCCGTCCTCTTGTCCCCGTCCTCTTGTCCCTGTCCTCTTGTCCCATCCTGTTGTCCCCGTCCTCTTGTCTCTGTCCTCTTGTCTCTGTCCTCTTGTCCCTGTCCTCTTGTCTCTGTCCTCTTGTCTCTGTCCTCTTGTCCCTGTCCTCTTGTCTCTGTCCTCTTGTCCCTGTCCTCTTGTCTCTGTCCTCTTGTCTCTGTCCTCTTGTCTCTGTCCTCTTGTCCCTGTCCTCTTGTCTCTGTCCTGTTGTCCTCATCCTCTTGTCCCCGTCCTCTTGTCTCTGTCCTCTTGTCCCTGTCCTCTTGTCCCTGTCCTCTTGTCCCCGTCCTCTTGTCTCTGTCTTCTTGTCTCTGTCTTGTCCCCATCCTCTTGTCTCTGTCCTCTTGTCTCTGTCTTGTCCCCGTCCTCTTGTCTCTGTCCTCTTGTCCCTGTCCTCTTGTCCCTGTCCTCTTGTCCCCGTCCTCTTGTCTCTGTCTTCTTGTCCCTGTCCTCTTGTCCCCATCCTCTTGTCCCTGTCCTCTTGTCTCTGTCTTGTCCCCGTCCTCTTGTCTCTGTCCTCTTGTCCCTGTCCTGTTGTCCCCGTCCTCTTGTCCCTGTCCTCTTGTCTCTGTCCTCTTGTCTCTGTCCTCTTGTCTCTGTCCTCTTGTCCCTGTCCTCTTGTCCCTGTCCTCTTGTCCTTGTCCTC